TTGTATAAAAAAGTAAACAATAATTTACTCGTGACATTTTTTTTTATAAGGATGATATAGGTTTTTTTATTTATTAAGATACTACTTAAAGGATTCGAACCTGGAACTTCTAGGTTCTAGGCTAGTGGTATTACTACTAGACCAAGCCCTTGTTCGTTACTCATGACATTTTTATAGTGTAATTTATGTTGAAGTTAGAACCTTTTTCCTTTTTCTTTCAGATTCAACCAAGGTCAATTGATAAAGTAAATATCACATGTTGAAAAACATTTGATGACTTGATAGTACTAATTTTGTTGTGATTAATATCATCAAACAGTGATTATCATATTGGTTCAGTGTTTATTGTTTTTTGTTGATATTGTTGCACTTAGGGGAATCATGCACACAACAAAACCTTATTGCACAGTTCTAAAATGCTTGTCCAGTTGTCCTCCTCATTGCACGCTTTCACAAGGACTGCATGAACATTATTTCTTTCTAGCACATGTGTTTATTGTGTGTTCATGTGTGTGTCTAATTGATCCCTTATCTTGTGAATCAAGTAACCTCCAAAATGGCACTCATTTGGAGGTACTAGTTTCTTAAAATTGGTACAACTCCTTTTACTTTTGTTTTATTGCATAAAGATAAAGGATAAGTATGTTAATTAAGGACTTATGGTTCATAAGTACCTAGATAGGTTTATGGCCAAATACACCTAAGTCCATATGGCAATCGGTTCGGTTATGGACATGTAGCTTCTCATGACATGGCCACACCCACATCCAAGAATGATGAGGCAGCATGAACATTTGCATCCTTTCTCACACTTGGTATTAGAGGACAACTTTTATGCGTATCAATGTGACACCGGACTGATCACTTTGTCGGGCGACGAGGCTAAAATGACTATTTTTATCTCATTTCGTGTATGGTAAGCCTTTCCTCACAAGGGGGACTTTCGAATGATTTCTCTTGAGCCCTCCGCGATTAAGTCGAAGTAACTTAGAGTACTGATAGACCGTTAATTACACATGTTTATACCTCTGTTCTTACACCGTTTGAGATGTGATTTCTCGTGTTTTAGGCCGATTTCACACTAGGTTGTGCTTGTTTGTGATATTTCAGGTCCTAGTACGTGAATGGAGGCTTGGGAGCGAGTTTGGGGTCGATTGGACGAAGATCGGACGCGTGGCGAGGTGCTAAGGAAGCCGCACGAGCATCCCTAGACATCACACGGCCGTGCAGAGCACATTTGTGGCCGTGTGATTTTCGCCGAGAGCAAACACGGGCAGGATGGAAATCCCACACGGCCGTGCGACCCTGGCCGTGTGGGAAGCCTGAATTTCGACTTAATGATACGCCGCGTTTTGACTCACACGGGCAACTGGGTGAGCCACACGGCCGTGGGGCCTGCCCGTGTGAGTCGGGAAATCTTGGTTTTTCAGCTAATTTCGAGCCAAAAGTGAGAGAATCGGATTTTCAGAGCAAAAACAGAGCCCTAGAGAGAGAAAGTGCGAAGAACACATCCTAGAAGCTATCTTGGAGCTGGGTTTCATCAAATCGAGCTTGGAGATCGTCATAGGAGTGGAAATCATCATCCCGGAGCAGATTTTCCTCATCTTTATGAGTATGACTACTCTGATTACTGTTTTCTTCTCTCTCTCTCTATGGAGTAGAACCCTTCTCTCACTTGGGTATGAAGAACCCTAGTTCCATGTGTTAGGGATTTGATTGTAATGACTTGGGATGATTATACTGTTTGGTTTTAATCGAATGATGCATGTTTATTGAATTGATTAAAGTCTGATCAGCTTTTCTTGATTTCTGCTGCAACCTGAGATAGATAGAATCTGATTAGGTTGTTAGTGCCTCTTCATTCGATAGCAAGAGATTGGTTATACGAGAGTTAGCCAGTTTACTGCTTTGTACTGGAATTCAATTCCAGTAGTGGAGTTCTGTGCTTATTGCTTCAGCTTTCTATCCTGGTGAAGACTAGTCGTCTGCCGGGTAGTTAGACTGAGAGGGCTTGGTCAACTTAAGAGATTCCAAACTACTGTCGGATCTTCCGCAGTCTAATCAACAGTAAATCAACCCAGGGTAATTACAATTGAACCTAACTAAGGAGCTAGGGGGACTCATTCCCGAGTGACTCTTTCCTGCTTGAGAAAACCGAATAATTTCCTGCTTTCTTACTGCTTTTGCTTTAAACAACAATCAATCGAATTAGTTGGCTTGATAATAGATAATCACGGAGTAAGCAGTAGATCTAGACCCCGGGTTGATAATAGAACTTGCCTGTTACTGCATTCCCGGACTGCGATTACACTTGGTCGCAGTTTGGTGTTGTGTTTTGGCGTGTCAAGTACTCTCAAAAACATGTGCTTCAAGTACATTTGCACCAGCCAAGTCTTGAATTTGGAGGGGGAAAAACTCGCAAGGTTTGTCGAGCGCGTCTATCAAATGATACCAATTCTCGAAAAGTTTTCGTCTCCCTTAGTGAATTTTCATGGTATGCAGAAAGGAAAACACATGCAACTTTCCTTACTACCAAGGAAAACTATGATTAGCCACAAACAAAGAAAAAGATATAGTCTAGTGCATTTATTTCATGGAGTAATCATCCCACAAGTACTTGGGGTAGGTCTCATAACCTATTGTAGAGAATTATGGTATGATTTGAATAAAATTGGTGAATTCCTATTAATCTATGTCAAATTGGTTGTGTTTAATGATCATCCATTACCTTAATTTGTATGTGAGGTTCTTTACCTACGAAGGCGATCATCCAATTAGGTCAAGTCATGCCTTCTACAACTTCCATTCTCTCTCTAGTTCAAATTTCCTCCGTCCTCTCTCTACTACCCAGCCTTTTCCTTCCGGGCTGCCACCAGCACTTCCTGGTGACCGGCGGTAGCCCCAATCTCTTTTCTGGTTCGCACTACTCCTTTGGTCTCCAGATCTTTCCTTATCAGTTTTTTGCTTTCTCCAAGCCATATTCCAAGGCATTTCCAGCCCTTTGTGGCATTTGTCCATTCCCTAAGTGGGTTTTCTCCACAATCCTCTCCTATGGAGATGGATTTCACTGTTTTTGCTCCAGATTTTCTAGATCTGGTGGGCCTTGCTTTGTTCTGGGTTTCGGAGGATGCAGATTGGAGATCCTCTATCATAGATCTGACTGATGGATCTGGCCAATCTTGGTGTAGTCATCTTCGAGGGTGAATGCATTCGCCGTTTGCCCATCCGTCGTCGTCCACCAATCGGCGATTGTTGTTGCAGCGGAGTCTCCTCTGGTTGCTGAGTCAGTGAAGCTTTGATTGGCGGAGTTTCGAGGTTCATCTAGGTTTGGTTTGGCCCTGTTTTTCGGGTTGTTGGAAGTGATTTTGGGCCTGCTTCTGTTTGTTCTGCTGTTGGATTTGTTTCGGGTGTTCTTTGCCGGCTTGTGTGGTTTGCAGGTGTTCTTGTTGGTTCTGGTCTTTTCTTTTCCAGGTCTTTGTGTGTGGCTTTTTCCAACCATTAGATGTGCCTCTGCTCTAGTTTTTCATTGTCCTCCCCGTCCCGGTCCCATTGGTCTTTTTTAGCTCGGAGCAGTCCGATCACAGCCTTGTCCACCGCCATGCAATCCCAATTCGGTGATTCACTGTGATGGGTCGTCTTTGAACAACTCCCAGGAGGCGGCATATGGAGTTGCAATGTTCATTCTCCATGCTCATGTTTGTATTGGGCGAGCTAATTCCATGCTTTGTGCCAATTCGTTTGGTTCATGTTATAAAGATGCGATGGATTCTTTGTATTTTGGCTCTTGTAAGGAAATCTCATGTTCATTCTTCTTGCTGTGTTGTCTTTCTTTTGTGTTTTTTCCCTTTGTCATGTTGTCTATCCCTGGTGTTGGGGTTTTCCTTCTTTTGCTGGGATTAAGTTTGTTTCCCCTCATTGTAACCTTGTTCTTTCGAAGTGGAATATAAGCAATGTAAAAAAATTTAGGTCAAGTACACCCAATTGGTATGGATGGGTGAATGCATAACCTTGATTTACTTATCTATGTGTGTGATGGGGTTTTCGCTAATTTGATAATCGAGTTTAAACCCTAATTAGGTGGCTACTCACATGATGAGTGATTTGACCTAACTAGCTAGGAGACAATTGAGTGTATGATCACTAGGCAATACCCTAATTTGTAACTGTTGCACCATATAATGCTAGAAAGGATTCAATTGGACTCTTTGTCACTTAATTCTCATGATTTATGTTGGGGGTGCAATTACCCCAAGTCCTCTTTTATTCTCGGGACAGTTTAAAGTAATTACAATTGTAGTTTGTTTAGTTCAAACATTCTCACTTGTTGACTAGATATACAATCTAATTCACAAATTATAATAATTTCTGACTCCGAGAAATATGACATTGATCACCACTTTACTATTTCGCCAATTTAAGATAAACATAACTTAAATCGAAAGAGATAGCATACAATACAAGAAACCGAGTTTTGAAACGAATCAAATTATTGCATCCATAATGGAGCACTGCAGAGGGAGAAGAAGGATGTGGATTTCGCAAGTTATTGATGATTGGCTTTTGGCCATACTCAACCAGAATGAAAAGCCAGAACCTTGGAGAGACAATTTTGAGGTCCAACCAACAAAAGCCAGGACTTCTAATCTAATCCATTCTGCAGGGTAGTAGTCGATCCAGTCAACTCATCCACTTGACAACGATGTCCGAAAATTGTCGGATTCCACCACCGCATCCAGCTTAAATCCGTACAAACCATGGATTCTGAAAAACGCCAAACAAAATTATCAGAGGTCCTATTCATAAGAATTTTAAAAAAAAGTTCCATTCTCAGAGGTCCCCTGCAAACAAACTACCCTGAAGAACTCTGTCTTGGACATGAACTGCTCTGTTTTCCTGTATTTAAATTACTTTTCTCCAACCCAATTGTAGCAGCAAACCTCGAATCGAGTTCCTTCTGACCGTTGGAATAATCTTCAGCTTTCTACTCAGATTTTTAAACAATGGATAGATCAAGTAATTACTTGATGGGTCACGAGATGCAGAGCAGTGGCAGAGAAAGAAGAAGCCAGAGGAACGACGACGATTACGATTGTGACGATGATGCTTTCTACGCGGAGATACGAAGGCAGATTCTGATTCTGACGGCTGAACAAGGTGATGATGATGATGAAATAGACGGCAACTGGAGGCGGCGTGGGAGAACAGGGCCGCCGACTCGTGGAGGCAGAGTATTGCTGCAGGTGGCTCCATCGGCGGGAAGATACTTCAGCTGGTGCGAGGAATCGGATAGGATATTTGGCGATTCTTCTTTATCTTCGTCTTTGTGGTCTTCGGTTTCGACACCAGACTGGCTTGTGAATCTATGGAGTAATAACAAAGCTAGTGGCAGTGTTGTTGGGACTGGAGTTTTCATCCCTCAGATTGTCAAATCCGGAGGAAGAAGCCGACCCAGTAAGTGAAAATTTATAAAATTTCTTGGGTTTGTTCCAAAATATTGAATTTATGAATTTGATTGAGTTAACTTTTGGCGGTGGGTTTGCAGGGAGAAGGAGAAGTGAAGTGAACAGGATGAAGAACAAGCACGCAGTACAGAGTGTCTGATTAGTCTCTCTCTGGAATTCTACAGCTCTTTCTCCTCTCTAGTTCATTGTTCCTTTTTTGGGTTTAGAGACAAAAACTTAATGGAGAGGACATTCAGTTCGAATTGGAGATTTTGGCTTCTCTTAGTCCTCTGTATACAAGATTCAGTGCTTGGGTTTTGATGTTTGGGAGTGGAGTTCATAGCTATGGATATAGTTGTTGTACATAATCGTTTTCCCTTATATACTGAATTCATTCCATTCCATTCCATTGATTGAGTAGGCACTTGTTTCACTCCATTCTTTTGTTCTCTTCAACTTTCATTCAATTTCAGTTCTTCGAAGTCCGTTTATACATGTTCAAAATTAACTTTCTATTGCATTGGGTTTGGCCCACACGGATATGACTAAATATTGGACAATAATATCGCGGTTTAAATCTCATTTTGGTTACCATACAAATGACTACGTATAATGACTCAATCAGATTAGGGATGACAATTATTTACCCATGGGTAATTTTACCCAAATCAAAATAGATCCATTTAGTATGGGTAGAGTTTAGATGAAGTGTATATGAGTTTGGGGGTGTGTAGATGGGTTTGGGTTAGCTATGGATATTGCTTTCATAATCTAAATGGGTATGGGTTGGATATGGATATCCATTTAATTACCCAACCCAATTGGGTTGGATAGTAGAATACCCATGGATATAAGCAAAATTCTCATCTCTAAATCAGATTGTATGACTTGTTTCACCTATCATCATGATTGAGTCGATGATATGATGATCAAGATTTACCTTAATTTTTGTGAAGAGTCCCTCACTATTATGAAAAATTAATAAGGAACTATGTAATAATTAAAAATTAAACTTGTTTGTTTATGAGGCATGCATAAAGTACTAACAATATTTTTGTCAAGTTTTGCTTAACTCCATTAGTTGAAATTTTGTTTTTTATAGGGTCTATCTCTAAGTGGGTGACCGGTACAACTGATCGTTAATGTGGCCTATATGTATAGGGTTACAAATAATTAAAACTATTAAACAAATTCCCGACGTCGTCTGGTGCGTCCTTTGAGAGGGCTGCTTAATTACGATGATCAATCAAAAGAGAATATTAGGAGGATCGATAATTATTTGATTTGCATACGATAACCAGGTAGCCAGCCATGATTAGATAATGGATGCTTGCTGCATAAGCACCTCTCCAAATAATAATCCCGTCGAAGATGGATTAATTAATTAAGTTATCATTATCCATTCACGTAGGAATAGGATACATGGCGTATTGAAATTGACGCTCTTAAATCCAAACTAATTTTCATACAAAACTTTGTTAATATGAAATCACGTTACCCAAAATATTAATAAAAAACTTCACTTAACCATACTAGTGAACCACCCAACCCACCACAGCCCACCCAGACTTATCCCACCCGAACTCGATCTAATACCCACTCCTTAAACTAGCAGAGAATCCGACCCGTGAGCTGGGAGAATTTTATCGAGAAATATAGTCTATAATAACTAGCTTTTTGCCCGCCCTTTGGGCGGAATTTTGTTTGGTTATTCTATTTTAATTTAAATATTCTATTTTTTTCATGTATGTATACTATTATGCATAGTCTCACTTACCAAACTTCATATATTATTTCACACTTTTGTTTCTTCTATTTGCTTATGAAAAAGTTAAATTTATTAAATTAGTTCTATGTAGATACTTGTATTGATTTAGAATTTGGTCTCAGATCCACCATTTAAGATCTGATTATTAATATTGTAGCAAATAAAAGGACAATGAAGTTGAAGAGTGTTTCACTTTCTCTGCTTTCTCGTATATGATAACAAAGACTACCGCGATCTAGATCCCACAAATATAATACAATATTAGTTATCCATGCAATTTTGAAAGAGTTAGAAACCACATAGGCATCAACATCGTCAATCATCCGTTTACTCATTTAATTTATTATGGAACTATCAGATATCACTAATTTATTAAAACATTAATTTTATCAAACTAAACCGTATATAGACATAATATATATTTAGTAGAGAACTATATATCCCCTGCGGAAAAAATGGTGTTTTTTAGCTAATAATAACATAGACGAATAGTGAAGCTGCAGACTTCCCTACAACTCAGTTCATTCAATCTTACACAGTCCCCATTTGTGAACTGGATTGATGCATCTATCCTAATAGTAATTGATAAGAAAATAATTATGCCAAAATGAAAGCCTTAATTAGGGATTCAGTGAGACCAAAATCCAAGGCTAAAGAAACTAACAAATGTCATTGCAAACATATAGAAACTGAAAGAGCGTCAACATAGACAACCCAGAGAACACCATCACCATTTTCTTTCTTCTTCTTCACCTTTATAAACTGCCTATCACTAATTTATTAAAACGATAATTTTAGCAAACTAAATTGTATATAGACAAAATATATATTTAGTAGAGAACTATATATCCCCTGCGGAAAAAAAATGGTGCTTTTTTAGCTAATAACAACATAGACGAATAGTGAAAGCTACAGACTTCCCTACAACTCAAATCATTCTATGTTGCACAATCCCCATTTGTGAACTGGATTGATGCATCTATCCAAATAGTAATTGGTAAGATAATAATTATGCCAAAATCAAAGCCTTAATTAGGGGTTCAATTAGACAAAAAAATTCAAACTAAGGAAACAAACAAATGTCATTGCAAACATATAGAAACTGAAACAACGTCGACATAGACAACCCAGAGACCACACCATCGCCACTTTCTTTCTTCTTGACCTTTATCACCCCTATATTTCCTTCTACGTATAATCCCCTAGTACATAATACTTTCTAACCCGATTATCATTGATAGCTAGCTAGTAACATTCCACTCATAAACAGATATAAAACATAAAGGAACATGCAAGGTGACAACCTTCACAATTGTGCTTTCCATTTTAGCATCCAAGGACGGGCAACCATAAGCCTTAGACGAAAACGACCAACTACACAATTCCAGGAGAGATGCTTTAAGTCCAAGCAATTAACCCTTTCAATTATCTATTACCTATTCACATTAAAGTACACAACAAAATAGAGAATCATAAAACAACTACATGAAAAACGAAGAAGAAATATATAGTGGAATCGAGTGTAGAAATTTACAAACTCAATGTTGTTATATAAAAAAATAAGAAAAGAATGGGAAGAAGATTAGAACTTGGTTGGTCAACTGCATGCTGTCACAGATCGCTGAGGAAGAGATAACAGTTGCCAGTTGCAGATCAAGGAGAAAAAGGGAGCAGTCGACCCTCAATTTTGTTTGTTTCATCTTCACAATGATAACATGAACTTTTTTCTCATCAACAGATAAAATATTTTACAACTTCTCAATTATTTTTCATCTGATCTTTGGGTCATATTCTCTCGAAAAGGAAAAAAGCTCCATTTTTCTTACCATTTCCTTGTATTTTTTTTTACAAATCCTTGTATCTATGTGTAAGAAAATATAGGAACGATAAATGTTAAAAATCTCAAAATTTGAGCAAATAAGAAAGCTTTCTTAATTATTACAGAATTTGACCAATTTCTTTTTACTTATTTTCAATGCTGGGTTTGAAATTTGATAATACTTTAGAGAGAATTTATACAGGAAAAGGGAAAGAAACTCAATGTTGTTATATAAAAAAATAAGAAAAGAATGGGAAGAAGATTAGAACTTGGTTGGTCAACTGCATGCTGTCACAGATCGCTGAGGAAGAGAGAACAGTTGCCAGTTGCAGATCAAGGAGAAAAAGGGAGCAGTCGACTCTCAATTTTGTTTGTTTCATCTTCACAATGATAACATGAACTTTTTTCTCATCAACAGATAAAATATTTTACAACTTCTCAATTATTTTTCATCTGATCTTTGGGTCATATTCTCTCGAAAAGGAAAAAAACTCCATTTTTCTTATCATTTCCTTGTACTTTTTTTTTACAAATCCTTGTATCTATGTGTAAGAAAATATAGGAACGATAAATGTTAAAAATCTCAAAATTTGAGCAAATAAGAAAGCTTTCTTAATTATTACAGAATTTGACCAATTTCTTTTAATTATTTTCAATGCTGGGTTTGAAATTTGATAATACTTTAGAGAGAATTTATACAGGAAAAGGGAAAGAAACAAACAAAAATGTTTACATTCATTGTTACTAACGTACTTTATGTTTTTTTTGGTCGAACGTACTTTATTTTTTATTGATAATGATGGCGATTTAAATTGTAATGAAAAGTACTTTACTCAGGATTAAAATTTGTCCACGTATTCAACGGAAAAAATTAATCACCCATGTGCAGATGTGGCACTTATTTTGGTTTTAAATTTCATTATATTAAGGATAGTTTACAATACATCATTTTCGAGTTTATTTTTTGCATACCCAATACATGAATTATTTATGTGATGAGACTTAAATTGTCACTCAAAATGAGTGATTGTTATATCGTAGCTTTTAGTTAAAATTGTTGAAATAGTTGAGTTGAGATTATTATATATCTGTGTTTAACTAATGTGACATACACAATTACACATACCAAATTATGTATTTTACAATATATCAAATTCATCAATACATATATAATATTATACATATATTCATCATAATATATATATATATGTTTAACATTCATAACATCCAAACAATCCTAAATCAATAATTTATGAAATTCATTTGCAAATTATGTGTGTTTGTGATAAGTTGCTAGGGAGGGAGGAGATAGGTTTTCAATGGCTACGGAGATATGGACATTTTACTGGATCAAATCTTCATCAACCTAGGGTGGTGCTGGACTGCTGGGTTTGATAATAGTTTAGGTAACTGGCATTAATTACCAAATACCAACCGCTACGCTTCCACCGTATCTTATGTTTGTATGGGAACAATTTGGTCCAATAGCAGCAATTACTATACAATAGACAATGCCCAATTTGGGCTCTACTCCTGCACGGCCCAACACGGAGATGATAAAAAATGGAAAAGGGTCGTGGAATGCGAAGAGTGAAGCAATGAGAGATCAGCTCCAGCTGACGTGGCAGATTGTTTTCACAGAACCACCATAATATATGTTATAGATAGATAGATAGATAGATAGATAGAATGTATATAATAAATGATTTAAAATATGTGAAAT